ATACCATTTTAATGAGTGTAAGGTTGCTTAGGATTTGGTGTTTATTCTAGGTGTTAAGTGGGGTCTTCCACAGTTGCTAGCTCTTCCCCTTAACATATAATATTAAAAGCTAACATATATTTTAAAAGAGCACTGATCTTTGGGCATTTCTAAGAATTAACAGCTCAAAGATCAACACTCCTACCTCTTCCAAAGCAAAGGGATGACCTGGAAAAGAATCATGATTAATTTATTTTGTAAAACATCTGCAGGCATTAAAAGGGGCTCATAAAAACATGTGGAACATTCATACATATGGACACCCACATCCTGCTTCATGTGCAGAAAACTTTTTGAGTACCACAGCCAAAAGAAGTATCATGGACTGTCACAAAATGAGCGGGTCCAACCCAACTATGATATGGTAGAACTTAACAGGAAGATGTACGACACACATACGCATATTAACCTAAGATGTCATGTTTAATGAAAACTATGAAAGGAAGGCACTTGTTTTCTTGATGGGGTTGTTCTTCCTAGACACCTAACTTTTTCAAAGTCATTGGCAGGCTAACTTCTATAACAGAAAAACCTTGTAAGAAACAGCAGAATTTCTGGGCTTTGGGATATCTTGGACAATATAGCATTCAATATATTGTTTAAAATGTTAACTAGAAGTATATAAATATTGGTAACTTCCACTATAAGCCCAAGTATTGGTCTACTTGATGTTTTAAGACTCAGGGTGATTAGCTGTGAGGTAGGGAAAGATGCTGTCCGTATAGAAAGAGAAAGTTTAAATGATTATCATTACTTTAAAACAAGCACGAAAAGAGCTGAAATCTTTGCACTTCAAACTTTCAACTCTGAAACCTGAGCACAGATAAAAAGCTCTCATATAATCCAAGTACAGTGCATGGTAGGAGTCACTGATGGGAAATGGTGCCACGACCTAGTATTTCCCTTTAGGAAGTCTGGCCAGGAGAACCATTCACATCTATCTCTGCTCTATAAGTAAAGGCTGTAAGTCAAAGGTTACACTCTAAGTAAGACTTTTAAAAAAATATATAGTCACAGTCTACATCAGTACGGTCAACTCTATTGTTTTGATACTTGGTTAACAGGTGATTCTAATCTCAAGGGTCAGAGTCTATTTGGTTCAGATTCCTAGGATGTCTTTCTAAAATGCTGATACAATCATTTGATCTCTCTACTTGAGTACCTCTGACAGCTTCCCCTTTTCAGGTTTTCAGGCTCCCACTTGCCTAGTTTTCCAGACTCTTGACAAACGGGCTAAATGCAGTTGTCTTACATCATCTCCCACCACCTGCTCACATGTACCCCACACTCTTTCACAGCCACACCACAAACTGACACATGTTGACTAACTGATCAATGTTCCCCAGGAGGCTCCTGTCTCCACTCTTCCTCTACTTGGAAAACGTCTACTTATGTCAGAGTCCATACAAACAAAATTAAATATTTTTCCTCAGTGTGCCACGTACTTTATTCATCTTACTGAGTGTCACTTAGCACCCTGTGCTATGGTTAATTATGCCCTAATAAAACAGGAGACCCCTGGAGAAAAAGGTTCAATCCTATTTATATTTGGCCAACAGTAGATGATCAATAAACATTTAGTGTATTAAATAGGGATGAACTAAAATAGATTTTAATAGCTTGGCTTGTGAAAGCAGTCCTAAGTTCAACCCTTGCTTCTCTCCTAAACAAGCTATTTTTTAAACTCTGTACTTCAGGTCCATAATTTGTAGAATAGAGCTGAAAATATTGACCTTACAGTATTGCTATGAAAATTAAACGATATGATGGATATAAATCTGTTTAGTATAATATCTTGAGAATAATAAGCTATCAGTAAAAGTCAGCCATTACTATCATTAATATTACTTCTAGTCTATATACATTTAAAAAAATCCATTACCTTCAACTGGGTAAATAAATCAGTATGCATATGTATTGCCAACATGGAAAAAGAGAAATCACCATGAGCCCCCAGACATCCTATCCTATCTTCTGGCTTTTTCTTCTCTGCCTCCACTTACACTGGGATATTTACTTCCTACAACTGTTCCAAACATTGCTCCCCTTCCCCGGTCTATTGGGGGAGGTGAAGGATGCTTTCTGGGCATTGCTGACAGGTATGTGGTTAGTGTGCTTAATCTGACCAAACTGCAGGTCTGTGTGCAACATATCACTAAGGCACCGAGGAAGGAGATACAGGTGGGTTCTCTGGAAAAAGAGATGCTCAGAAGGGGATGTTTCTGGGCACAGAGGACGTGCCAGTGGCAACATAATGGGCACATCGTCATGTCTAACCCTTGGGGCTGAATGTCTAGTGTCAGTCCTTAGTAAACAAGGTGGGGAGAAGATAGAGAGCAGGAGGGAGGGAGAGAGGGAAAGCGAATACCATATGCTTTAGTTAGTTAAAACACAAGCCTTTTTCCTCCTCTTGAAAAAAAAAAGATGCTTTATCAAGTAAAAGAATCTGCATTTTCAAGCTGGCAAGTACCCCCCGGCCCTCTTTTTAAATGTCAATGTTACTGAAGTGACACTTTGTTCAAGGCTTAGGCCTTAAGAGACCTTGCACCTTATGTGTTTGCTTGCTTTCTTGGAAGTCTAGCCTAGACTGCATGATGAGAGATCACATGGAGAGAAAAGAGGCTATGTGCAGGAGGATCGAGATGTCCCAGCCAACAGATACCACCAAGGTCCCAATGTGTGGAGTAAGGCCACCTTGTATCCTCTAGTCACAGTCAAACAACCCCAGCTGATACCATACAGGACATACATTAAGCCATTCCAGAACTGTGAACAACAACAACAAAAAGGTCACTGCTGTTTTAAGTCACTAGGTTTGGACACAATTTGTTACACAGCAACAGACAACTGAAATAGGCATCTTACAATTCTCTCTCTCTATCCCTCTCTCTCTCCAATGCCTACATGTCTGGTTTTAGGCACTGGGACAGCAACTGTAAAGGGCTTGAGGTAGGAGTGGGTGCCATGTGTGAGGAACAGCAAGGCAGCCAAGGTAGGAAATGAGATGAGGTACTAACAGAGGGGAGAGGAGGGACCATGTGGGGCCTTCTGGGCTCTTGTAAGGGCTTTACCTTTCACTCAGTGACATAGAAAGCCACTGGAGGGTTCTTAGCAGACAACTGATTTGATTTGACTTAACATATACACAAATCTTACTCTGGTGGCTGATATCAGAATAGACAGGCCAAGGGTGGAAGCAGCGAAGCAAGCTAGGAGGCTCTTGCAAAAATCCAGACAAGAGGTGATGGTAGCCAACATTTGAGTGTTATTAGTGTAGGTGGTAATAAATGGTCTAGATTTATTTTTAGGTTATCTACCACAATTAATTCACCATTCTAGGTAAAGATTTACTTAATTTTTTTTCTTTTTTGATTTTTTTTTTTTTAAAGAGAAAGGAAGGGAGAGGGAGAGAGAGATAGGAACATCAATGAGAGAGAACATTGATTGGCCACCTCCTGCATGCTCCCCCACTGGGAATTTGGCCCACAACCTGGGCATGTGCCCTGACCAGAAATCAAACCTGTGACCTCTTGGTGCATGGGTCAATACTCAACCACTGAGCCACACTGACTGGGCAGAGAAAGATTTATTTAGAAAGAGCACTTTTTTTTAATCCTCACCCAAGGACATTTTTCCATTTTTTGTTCAGATAGAGTGGGAAGGAGAGTGGGAGAGGGAGAGGGAGAGGGAGAGGGAGAGGGAGAGGGAGAGGGAGAGGGAGAGGGAGAGGGAGAGGGAGAGGGAGAGGGAGAGGGAGAGGGAGAGGGAGAGGGAGAGAGAGAGAGAGAGAGAGAGAGAGAGAGAGAGAGAGAGAGAAACATCGATGTGAAAGGGACACAGTGAGTGGCTGTCTCCTGCGTGATCTAACCAGGGCCGAGGACAAACTGCAACCAAAGTACGTGCCCTTAGCAGGAATCAAACCCAGGTCTCTCTGGACCACAGGCCGATGCTCTAACTGCTGAGCCAAATGGGCCAGGGCAAAAGGAGCATATTTTGATACCAGAGCTGTGACTGTCAAATGGTGCTCCAGGGAACCCTGCAGCTTCTGAGAAGCTTCATAGGGATCTGCTATGAGGAGCTGGGGTGGGACAGATGAGTGAATCATCAGTTCACCTACTACCCTAGTTTTGTAAGGGCAGCTCTGTGTGTTGACTTATTTCATTATGGGGTGAGGGAGACCTTAAGAGAGACCAAAGTGGTATACCCAGAGACGTGGAAGTAGGGTTGTCTTCTGACAACCCTCAGAAGAGGGTGTGATGGGGGGAGGGAAGAGATAAACCACAGAACTTATATGCATGTATGCATAACCAATGGACATGGATAACAAAGCAGGGGACCGGGTGGCGGGGGATGGGGAGGAGGGTGTCAATGGGGTAAAAAAGGAGAAACATCTGTAACAACAACAACAACAAAAAAGAGCACATTAAAAGAGAGAGAGAGAGAGAGAGAGACCAAAATGCCCTGACGGAAAAGACAGACAACACCCCCCCACCACACACACACACAGAAAAAATACACCATTTATAAAACTGAAAGGAAACTACAGATTAGGAAAAATATTTGCAACACAAATGAAAATAGTTTAATGTTCATAATATTAACTATTATAAATGTATAAGAGGACAACCAAGTTAAAAAAAATGGGTGAAAGGTATCTTCAAAATAGGACTTATACTAGTACCTTCTTCAGTGGATATTGCGAGGATAAAAAGACAACATGTGTAAAGTACTTAGACAGTCCCCACCATAGAATGAATGCTGTCGTCACCATCACCACCACTGCTGCCACAGCTGCCACCACGAGATGATTATCATCACTGCCATCACCACTATCAGCAACTTCGTCGTCATCACAATTCTCATTAGCAATGTGAACACCAGTCAACCCCGAATGCCAGTTCCAACTCAGCCTCCCCCAAGGCAAATTCTTCACTCACAGTGACCAACTAGACCTACGTTACCTTATCATGATTTTCTATCAGGATTTCAATGACAATGTTCTGAAACTTGATATCCATGATGGCTGCTACTGTTTCTTCCTGAGGCCTCAGTAGGGTGGGCCCAAACACCACGCCAAGGTTTGCCACTGTCATCAAATTCTGCTTGTGGTTGTTAGCAACACTGGAAGAAAGGAATAGAAAAGGCACAAGTGAGAGAAATAGTGTACAAATAAAGAGCTAAAGTTTACCTTTCCCTTTCCCTTTGCTATCTTTTGATTTCTCATCATGAAGAAGCCAGACCTTGGGATACCTCTTGATATCCTTGGAGTTCAAAGAGAGACTTTTCTACTCATATTTTCATGTGTCCAAGCTTCAGAAATCTTTAGTGTTTAGGCTATTTAGCTATTTCAGGATATGACACTTCTTATCATTTCCATTTTGCCTAAACAACCAACCAATCAAAGCAGCTGCCTTCCAAAATATGAACCTTTGTACATCCAAATCCATGTTCTGCAAGTCCAGGTAACTGCTAATCCCACTTAGTTACAACTTCTATACTTGGCTGCTGCTTAAACCACTGGGATCAGTAACATCTTCTCTAGATCAAATATAAAAACTCCTGATAGCTTTTTAACACATGTACAAACATAGGCACAAAATAGACCTATGTTTTAAAATGGGTAGAAATGGATACTTAAAAAGAATCGGGAAATTAAACACTTTAGGCTCAGAGTATTAAAGCCCCATCACTTGGAACATGTGGCCCAAACAGAAATAAAAACCCACTGCTATAGATCCATACATATGGCTGCATTTATATTGTCGTTTATACTTAGAGGTTAAGGAACACATAGGGTCAGCAGTACTTGGCCCTGAGTAATTTGCTAAACAGATATGCATATTTTTGGATAAGCAGCCATGCAAAACATATATCTGAGCTCCACAACCAGGTCACAATTACCTAGCCATAAAACTGAATTGTCCATTTGCTGGCCCTGCATATAAAAATATACAAATTACCTATTGATGACAAATAAGTTAAAAATTAAGGCCATTCAGTATTGTTAAGAAAATATTAGGGGCTTCCCTAAATCACCTGTTAGAAGAAGGAAACTATTCATTATGAGAAACAGGAGGGAAACTGGGCAGAGATGTCAGTTTGCACAGACATACCTCCCTAGCATTTAGTGCTATTTATAGTGAGTATTTTTTTAACACAATTCTGTAAATACTTGTACTGTTTCACTTGTATACTTCCACTTTATATGAGAAAAAAAGGTTCTACTGACTTAAGTGTTAGTTTTGAAACTGAGCCTTCACTGAAATAGTATCTCAACCAATTTTATCAGCAGATGTGTACTTTGCTATAATTTTTTAAGGCTGAAAGTAATTTCCTAAAAACTTCCTCCTCAGAAAGGGGCAGGGGGTAGTTAGGTCTATGAACAGCCTGATTGCTAAGCAACACCTGCAGCGAGGAGATCTGTCACTTATATCTTGGCATGTTTCTTGTCTACATAAAAATATTTTATAAATATTTTTTGTGTTCTTTTAGTTTTCTATGCAGATGGCAAGGGGAAAAGACTATGGTTCTGTGCCTCAGTGAATTAGCAAGTATGCATATTTAAAAGCTGCTTGTAACACCACTGCTTTCAACATCAGCTCGTGTGCAGAAGTGAATTCCATGCCCTTATGTTTTCCCTCCCAAATGAGTTAAGTCAGTAGACTAAACCCTCTTGTCACAAAAGTCCCTTGTGCAAATGAATCAACAAGCTATTTATGTATAATAGCACTTTGAAATTATAAACCGATATAAAAATATATGGTTTGGATGATGATCATTCTTCACCACCACGCTTCTCAGCACTACCTCTGACTCAAGCAACAGCCTCGTAACTAGGCTTCCTGACTGGAATCTCTAGGTTCAGCTTTATTCTGCCTGCCAACACCAGGTACTGTCTAAAACTCAGCTCTGTTCACGTTACTCCTCTGCTGAAAGCTGCAATGGCCTCACACCTCACTGGGTTGTTGGGAGAGAACACAATGACAAAGTGTGTGCAATGTGTAAAGTGTTCGGCCATGCTTCTACTGTTTGGGTGTTGATAATGATAATTACAAACCCTCGGTGGGCACCACTGTTTTGAATATAAAGACCAAACTTATGAAATAGCACAGCTTTTCCCAAGTCACCTCTGCCACTCTCCAGCTCTGGGTGTCTGTGCAAGTGATTCAATATGTCCAGGCTTCTTTGGGTTCCTCATCTTTTTTCTTTAAAACTTTTTTATTGATTTACTGGGGTAACATTGGTTAATAAAGTTATAAAGATTGCAGGTGTACAATTCTATACTACATCATCGGTGTATTATATGTGTTTACCACTCCAAGTCTCCTTCTATCACTGTTTATCCCACTATACCCTCTTCTACCTGCCTTCACCCTCTTTCCCTCTAGAAATCACCACACTGTTGTCTGTGCCTATGAGTTGGGTTTTCTTTCTTTTTTTTAACTTAATCCTTTCACCTACTTCACCCAGCCCTGAAACCCCCTCCCGTCTGACAGCTGTCAATCTGTTTTCTATCTAAGAGTCTGTTTCTATTTGGTATGTTACTTGATTTTGTTCATTAGACTCAACATATGAATGAAATGATATGGTACTTGTTTTTCTCTGACTGACTTATTTCACTTAGCATTATGCTCTCCATGTCCATCCATGCTGTCTCAAAAGGTAAGATTTCCTTCTTTTTTTAACAGCCGAGGAGTATTCCATTGTGTAAATGCACCACAATTTTCTTTACTCACTCATCTACTGATGGACACTTGGGCTATTTCCGGATCTTAGCTATTATAAATGATGCTGCTATGAACATAGAGGTGCATATATTCTTTTGAATCAGTATTTTGGATTTCTTTGAATATATTCCCAGAAGGGAACTTGCTGGGTCATAAGGCAGTTCCATTTTTAATTTTTTGAGGTAACTCCACACCACTTTCCACAGTGGCTTTCCCACCAAAAATGCATGAGGTTTTCCTTTTCTTCATATCTGCGCTAACATATGACAGCCATTCTGACAGGTGTGAAGTGATATCTTTTTGTGGCTTTATTTGCATCTCTCTGATGATTAATGATGTTGAGCATCTTTTCATATGTTTATTGACCATGTATATGTCCTCTTTGGAGAAGTGTTTATTCAGGTCCTTTGCCTATTTTTTAATTGACTTACTTTTTTGGTGTAGAATTGTGTAAGTTCTTTATAAATTTTGGATATTAACCCCTTATCAGATGTATCATTGGTGAATATGTTCTCTCATTCAGTGAATTGTCTTTTCATTTTGTTGATGGTTTTCTTTGCTGTGCAAAAACATTTTAGTTTGATATAGTCCCATTTATTTTATTGTTAATCTTCCCCCAAGGATATATTTTTTCACTGATTTTTAGAGAGAATGGAAGGGAGGGGTGACGGGAAAGAGAAAGAGAAGCATTGATGTGAGAGACACCTTGATTGGATGCCTCCTGCACATGCCCTGGGGCCAAGAATTGAACCTGCAACCTAGGTATGCGCCCTTGACTGGGAATCTGTCCCACGACCCTTTGGTGCAAGGGGCTGATGCTCTAACCACTGAGCAACACTGGCCAGGGCCCATTTGCTTATTTTTTTTTTCTTGTTTCCCTTGCCTGAGGCTATATATAGCCTCAGAAAAAAATATTGCTACGAGTAATGTCTGAGATCTTACTGCCTGTTGTCTTCTAAGATTTTTATGGTTTCGAGTCTAACATTAAAATCTTAAATCCATTTTGAGTTTATTCTTGTGTATGATGTAAGAAGGTGGTCTAGTCTCAATTTTTTGCACATATCTGTCCAATTTTCCCAACATCATTTATTTAATAGACTATCTTTACACCATTGTATGTTTTTGCCATCTTTGTCAAATATTAATTGACCATAAAGGCATGGGTTTATTTCTGGGCTCTCTATTCTGTTCCATTGATCTACATGTCTGTTTTTATGCCAGTACCATGCTGTTTGAGTACTATGACCTTATAGTATAGTTTATATCTGGTAGCATGATTCCTCCAACTTCGTTCTTCTCAAGATTTCTGTGGCTATGTGAGGTCTTTTATGGTTTCATATAAATTTTTAGAATATCTGTTCTAGTTCTATGAAATAGGCCATTAGTATCTTGATAGGAACTGCACTGAATATATAGATTGCTTTGGGTAGTACTGAAGTTTTAATGATGTTAATTCTTCCTATCCACAAACATGGTATATGTTTACACTTATTTGTTTCTTCTTCCATTTCTTTCTTCAGTGTCTTATCATTTTTCGAGTATAGTCAAACCTCAGTTCTCGAACATCTCCCATCTTGAACAATTCAGTTCTCAACCAAGTTGTTCAAGGAAAAAGGTCTGTTGTCAAACCAAATTTTGATTCTCAACCCAACAACCCTTTCCTGGTGATACCTGTACAATCAGTCACATGTCTCCCAGATGATAAAGGAGAGAAACTGTGAATAAGAGCCAGTTTACCACTAAACCTTTCATTGTAAACGTCCCAGGAAATTGTGCTATGAATATTCATTTTTTTTTTTTTTTTTGCTTTTGTGTGGCTGCTTATTCATATTAAATACATATTGTGGGTCCTAAGAAGGTTAGTGATAGCAGCACAGTGAAAAGGAAAGTTGTGAAAACAATGATAGAGCTTTAAAAAGAAATAATTGCAAAGTATGATAGAAGTATTCATATGTCTGATCTGGCTACCAAGTATGGCATGGCAAAATCAATGATTACCACATTTTAAAACATAGAGAGGCCACCAAGAGTGCTGATGTTGCAAAGGACGTGAAGTGCTCACAAAACAACAATCACAGACATTGAAGAGGTAGAACAACTGTTGTTGATCTGGATAAACAAAAAGCAGTTAGCTGGTGATCAGCATCTGGGAGGCAGTGATGTGTGAGAGAAAGTGGAGATGCTGCAGGCTGACCTCCGGAAAGACACCCTGGAACGAGTGTTGAAAGTGATCTGTTTAAACGGGGGAGGGGTGGGGGCGCTCAATAAATTTTCATTGTACATTTCATTTCCTTTTTGTTAAATTTTCATTTACATTTCATATCCTTTTTGTTTTTGAAGTGTTTATTTATAGATTAAACAGTGCATTAGACATTTACTGTATATAATAAAGGT